AGTAATTAATTACTTTTAGTTTTTATGAGGAATTGGATTCTTTCATATAAAATTAAAATAAAGTAGATCTCAAATATATTAAATATAATTCTTAGTTTGATAAAATTAATTATAATTGGTATTAAAAAGTTTATCCAATAATCGAAAGATTTAAAAGCTTTGGAGAATTTGATATATGTTAAAATATACTTTCTAATTTAGTTAAAGATTAATTATATAGTAATATAATTGTAATAAATGAGTAATCTTAAATATAATAAGCTGAGTAACAATAATAACTATAATAGGAATAATCTTAATAATAATAAAAATAATAATAATAACCTTAGTAATAATAATAACTCTAATAATAATAATCTTAGTAATACTAATCATAAGAAATAAATATAGCACAATAACCAAAATATGTTGGGAAAGTGCAACTGACTTTAATAGATTAATCTATTTAATAAAAAAAAGCTTGCTAAGCAATAGCTTTTGATTCTTCTGGATCCATTATGGTAACTACAGAATCAAGAGAAATCAAAGTATGGAATTTTAAAAATGGTAAAATTCAATTAGTTAATTCTTTACAGGGGCATACTAATTTTGTTAATTGTTTGATATACAGTAAGAAATAGAATTCTTTTCTTTCATCTTCTGATGATAAAACAATCAGATGTTGGAAATAAATGAATATCAGAAATTGGGTGAGTTCATAACCATATTATTAACATACTCATTATATTTAGTGCATGATAATCAATAAGAATGAAGATTTAGTATTTTCTGGTAGTTTTGATAAGTCAATTAAAGTTTGGAAAGTTGATTTTAATTAAAATTTTTTGACTTATTAATATTCATTGGATAAACATACTAATTTTGTGAATGGATTAAGTTTAAATCCATCAGAAAATGTATTAGTATCTTGTGCAAAAGATAATAATTCAATTATTATTTGGGAAAGAAATATAAATAATATATTTGAATTTAAATACATAGTTACATAATCAATATAAGACACAGGGAATAAAATTATGTTTATAACAGATGATGAATTTATTTGGGCAACCAGTTCCAGTTCTTAAGATAGCATTTATACTTTTTAATTAAAATAAGGAATATTTTAAGAAAACTAAGAAAAGACAATCCAACTAACTAAAAATAATATGGTTTAAGACGAATATCGATTTCCCTTTTCTTATAATAGAGAAAGGAATTTAATAGTTGTCAGGGTAAAAACTATTATTTATATTATTTAATAACTTAATGATGGCAAATACAAAATAGCTTCTCAATTAAATTGTAACACCTATGAAATCTATGGTCAAATCACAAATAATGGACAGTATTTAGTATATTGGGATGACAATATAAAAGGATATAGCATCTATGAATTATAAATAAAATGAAAAATCAATAAGCATTCATATTTATTATTAAGTTTATTATTTAACATTCTTTATTTGGAAAATAAAATTTTTAAAATTAAAATATTAAATAAAATGCTGGTTTATTTATTAATTTTATTATTAAGCAATTTAAATAGATGTACGAATAGAGAATCGTTTTGAGAACAACTATTAATTAACATAAAAAAAATAAATAAGATTAACAGAAATTTTTACAAAACTAATCAAGATTATAAAAAAACTTTATATTCAAATAAAACAGTTAGCCATTTTCACTTTACAAAAAAACAGTAATTATATAAAAATATAAGTGTTAGAAAAAAAATATTAAATAACAACTTCTGAAATATTTTTAATATTTCACAAGGATAAAAGGTTTAACATTTAACTTTGCTTAAAGAGAAAACTTCAATTATTGAGGGTAACCATTTCAAATAGGAAGAAGAAATTAAGTTTATAGAGGAAAATGGTTCTTATATTATTAGAGGAAATTGTTATGAAAATCTATGGGATGATTTAAAAATACAATTAATAATATTCTAAAAAAACACCATCATGTTTTTTAAACTTTTTTCACTGGATTCAACCTTTTATTTCTACTAATCATCAATATTTTTTGATTAAATATTCTGAATTAAGTTAAAATAAAGATATTAAATATGAACTAGTTGAAGAATTATAAGAATGATTTATTTAATAATAATTTTATTAAAAAGTCATGGATATTTGATAAACTAAATTAAAATGGGGAAGATTATTCAATATAAAATTTTAGCCAATAAAGAG